CCTACGTTCTCTCTCTCTCTCTCTCTCTCTATCTCTCTGTCTCTATCTCTGTCCCCCTCTCCTCTTTACTTACTTTGTAAAAATGAGTGATCTTGATCCGTAAAAGATTTATAAAAAAAAGATTTTCAATGGATCCTCGATCCAAAATTGAAAGTTTCAGTTCTTATTTCCCCGGTTTCAATTTGTAAATTATATACTTGGTTTTACCCCTTGTATTTTATTCGTTCTATTCTGCTCCCCCTTCTTCTCTCTTTCTCTGTATATCATTGCCTCTTTCTGCATATTTCTGTCTTTTTTGTGTCTTAATTATGTGTACATATGCCTTCGAGTTTTTTAACCATTATCTTGCATATAAATATATATATATATACGCCAAGGCGGTGATGATTATGATGATGATGATGATGATGATGATGATGATGATTATGAAAATGGCGATGGGATGATTGCACCTTTTAAATCCTCGTTTCAGAGACACACTGTCCAAACGCGACTGCCTACAGTTGGGTATTTATTCGTTTTTCACGATTTCCCGTTTCCATGCTCTGTTCGTTCTCTGTTGTCGATATCGATTTCGAAGAGAAAGTTGGCGAATTTATCTGTTTACAAGAATAAATATATATATATATTTTTTTTTGTTTTTTTTTGAACGATTCGAAAGACTCGATCGTTCGACCGATGCCACTTGATGCCACTTGATTACCGTGACGTGAAAAATGAAATACCACTGATACACACGTGATATGTATCCCTTTATAGTTCTGTCAGTTGGCGCATGTCCACCTGGCCAATCGAGGAATTAGCCTGCACTCTAGTGTGTGCCCTTCTCGCTCGCCTTGCATGCATGATTAGTTTCCGATTCGAATAATTTTAACGCCTTAATGATACGAAAGCTTCGTACTCACTCGCTCTCTCTCTCTCTCTCTCTTTCTCTCTATCTCTCTTTCTCAATATCCCTCAATTCGCCTTTTCTCTATCTTCTATTTTCTCTCTGTCTGCCTATCTGTTTATCTATTTACACACTGTCTATACTTCTTCCAATTCTTTGCTATCTTTGCTATTCTACCCCCTCTGATCTCTCTTCGATCGTGTGAGAACTTTCAATGTGCCAACTGTCATTGATGAAACTCTGTCGATCGTTAGGTTTCGATCAATTTGAAATTAATCTTCTATTCGCTCTCGCTCCGGATATTTCATATCAAAATGATGCGATGTTTCGCTGAAGAAAAGAAAAAAAAGAAAAAGCGGATTATCCCTTGGATAACTTTGGCGTAAATAATGATTTTCCACGATTTTTTTCCACGAATAAATTTGTAGGGAACGACGTACGATTCTTTAATCACGGATCGATTTTTCTAATTAACGATTTCTCTACTCGTTTACATAATAATGTCACACAACGTATCATAATACCAACACACACACATATATATATATATATTCACATTCAGTTCATCTGAACTCATCTGAATGTAAGATCCGCTATAAGATATTCAATCTCCATCACGTTATATATTAAACCCTGGGCAATCAAAACGTGATTTCGTGTGAATTTTATTTCGCTATATCGATTTTAGAGAGAAATTCTTTATGCGTCATTTTTGAAAATTATTAAGAAATTTCAGGATGGATAAAAATACATCGGAGGTAAATAGTGTTTGAGGAGCTTTGTAGTTTATTTTTGTATTCTTTTTATTTAGTATCCCTTATCCTGACTGTAGGAAAACCTGACTGTGCTGATTGAGAGTAAATTTAAGCGAATAATACGATATAGTGCTGCTATCTTTCGATTCATACGTGAACGATAATGTGATAATAGACAATTAAATTTCATTATTATATTAATATTAATATATTTCATTTAACCATTAATTCTTATTTATTAATTAATATAAAAATCACACATCTTCACGTATGAATGTTTGAACGACAATTATCTATAATTACTTATGTCTATAGGTTGCTTGGCAGAATTTTATCTTTGCTAACATATTCTGCAATTATAAATAAAATTTCCAGTAATAAATTCATAAATATTATACAATAGAACCTTTCGTATTCGAATTAATAGTAGACAAATAGAAGTTTATGAGTTTGTCAATTTTTTTCAATATCTAGAAATTTTATATTATTTTAAATAACTCTAATAACTACGTATGAATGTTTTAAGATGATATATCATTGTATATATAAATATTTTAATAAGAATTATTATGAGTTTAAATTGTACAAAAAGAAATACATTTATAGAGAAAGAAAATCATAAAATAAATTTTAATTTGTAATTTCAACAAATGATATATAAAATTATTACACGATTATATATATATATATTTTTAAATGGGAAAATTATATTAAGAGATATTTTGTTTGAATAACAAAAACATTTGTATAATCAAAAATTCAGATACGGGAGATTCTATTCTTCTATTAAAAACTTACGATTATATAAAAAAGAGTCAAATAACATTTTTATTTTCAGGAAGAAATAAGGTAGATACTCACTATATTTACAATATCTAATAATTAAAGCTTTGGGGTGCTATTGAGGAACTATGAATAAGATGCTTCAACTTACGTTTATATCGATATTTTATTTTTAGTCCCAGTACACGCTGTCAAAGTTTCTATGGTAACTCGCGGGAATACCTTGTATATTTTTAACAATTTTCTAAAATTCAATTTCGTTCTCTGGTTCCTAATAAACAAGCCTGTTTAACCATTGACCCTCCTATACCATCTTCCAGTCATTTCAGTAGAATATCCCTGCGTGTTTACTGACAAACATATGTCCGGGCCGAATGCTCGATTTTTACAGATGTGGGGATGATGATGATGCAGACCGGCATGGTGAAGGGAAACACTGCCTACAGCAGTTACCTCGACGGTACGCGTATTTGTACCTTCCTTGCCGTCCTCTTCATCCCAATGTACATCCTTCATCGACCTATATCTACAACTTTGTCAGAATAATCTTAAAGGAAATATATCTAGGGATATGCTACACAGTCCCGAACTTCGGGTCGAGTCGGAAATGTTCGAGTAGAATCGTGCGAGATTTCGATATTGCTCGAGGCAAGCAGCTGTCTAACTTCGGCTCGACTCGACAATAATCGGACGTGATCGGCTAAAGGCTTTATAATGACCGAGACTCGAGCTCTCGAACCGAAATGAGACAACCGCTTTAGGATCTGATACGAGAGTAAATCGAGAATTCGTTCGATTCTATACGGATTTTTTCCATTTTTTGTCCCGAGTTTGTAAATCTCTAGAAATATATAGATTCGTGAGATGATGTTATGATAAGAAAAGATCATTATTCTGACAAATTCTCTCTGTTTGAGTCAAATTTGAGGAACGAATTATTTTTATTATTTTCAAAAATAAGAAAAAAACCAATTGACTCAAACAGGGCTCGGTTGATTTTGCGTTTAACCAGGTAAGATGGCGTAAGTGATAGAAAGAAAGAAAGGGAAATGCAAGTTCGATGTTTAATAATTCACCGTCATATGCACTTACTCCACGGTACCTGCGTTTGAACATTTTTTGACATCGTTCGATATTGTTTCTCGCTGGGCTTTTGCTAGAGCTAATATATTTTGGCGATTATTGTTTTCTAAAATGAAGCAGCAACGTCGAATTCAAGCTGGACGAAGGTCGTTCCACATCGCATATGTACAGAGTTTCAGTTCGATATAAATTTTGCTTCAGTTTTCACGAGAAATCGTCGCTTTTGCGGATATGCTAATTTTGCTAAAGCACGTTAATATCAACTCGTATATTCTGTGTCTACACGTTCCTGGCTGTTACGTTTCACTGATTAAGAAAACTTGCTCGTTTCAGGCTTGCCAATGATTATCGTTTTTAATCGTTATTCGATGTGCTTATAATTAAACATTTTAAATTATTTTCTTCACAATTCAAATGTTATCCTTTTTGTTTTCCATGTAATTTTGTCCGTTTTAGGATTAGCATTGAATTTATCGAAGAGTTAATAGGTCAGTTTTTATTTTCAAATTTTATTGATTAGACAACGAATTAAGAGCTGTCAAATATCTTCAAAGTTATTTGACATTTCTTTTTCTAATTTTATTTTCAAAACCTTATTTTTTTTTTTTTTTGTTATATAATATAAAATTGCACATTAGTACGCTAGATATTCGAACGTTCTCGCGAATTTTCAATTTTAGAAACAGAAGAACTCTTTTATCCTTGATATTTTATAATAATTTTATATTTTATAACAGATATTGTACACCTATGCTACTATAATATAATAAATCTTTATTTCTGATTAATATATTGTTACTTGGATGATAGTAAAATCAAAATAGGTTCAAATTATTTAATATTTTATTTTTCAAATTTATTTTCATAAATTATTCTAATCTATTAATAAATTTTTTTTGTTAGATAAGTAATTATATTATTAAATAAGATAATAATAACGAGTATATTGTCTTATATGTTTTTTAATCTTTCTTTTAATCTACATTGCTCTTGTAGATACTCATAATTATATTCTTAAAAGATAATCTTACTTCTCATCTTTATTAGCCAATAAAATTTTATTTGGCAATGAAAATCATTTTTCTCTCCTATAAATCTTTTAACTCGATTATCAGATTCGTTTAGTACATATCGTGTTTATACAAGCTGTTTTCTAATATATGAATCAATTTCAGGAATTGATTACATATGAATAAAATTAATATTCCTATAATATTCCGTTTGAATATATCATTTCATGTAAATTTTTTCTTTGTCAAAATTAATTACATCAGAAAATGTGTCAAATTTGAAATTATTCAAATCTATTTTAATCATTTTCTTCGTGCAATAATTAGCAATAACGGATTAAAATGAAGCACTTGATATTTATTTTTGCTATCATAACATAGTATTTTTAAGTTATATAGTTAGTATACTAAGTTAGTATAATATATTATATAAAATATTGGTTCAGACTTATTTATTAAGTTATAAGCAAGATTTATATTAGATGAAGAGAGACAGTGTTAGATAGGTAGCTCTATCTCTGTTTCGTTTCATCTACAAACTTAGATTGCTTATAACCTAATAAATAAGTTTTAACCAATATTTTTCCATATCAACTTTTTCTGTTTGTTTTAACCTTCAGAATCGATTCTCGAAACGATTACATTAATACCTTGTATATGCATGTATATGTGCGTGTATTACGATTGATTGCACAATCAATTTTAAAACATATCTGGATAATTATTCCAAATATTTTTACTTCTGTCGTTCCAATATATTTCATTTTGAAGAGAATATTTTTAACCCGGTTTTTGCACTGAATTGATTAACATAAAAACACAGAAATAATTCTTTTTGCATGCGTTAGAAACGTGTTTGTTCTCTGATTCGATAAAATTATTAAAAATAACATATTTGAAATAGATTTGGAATATCATACACATGCAATTTTTGTGTGACCAATATCTAGAAAAATATTCATATAACATTCTCATGCGTTATTGTACATTTTAAAATTGATTAATATATATCTATATAGTAGAACTATAAAAACTACAGTTTTCATATTTCTGTATATTACTCATAATCTGTTATATATTATTCCTTTAGTAATTAGATAAATTATCTACTTACATAAAAAATGAAGAACAATTAAATATTTATTAAATATCGTTCGAAGAAGTTGAAAATGATTATTAGAAATCTTGAAAAAAAAAAAAACACTAACTTTCGATGATGTTTGAGCAAAGAAAATTTGCAACAGTTTTCTCTAACAAAGCACAAGATAATCCTTCGATATGAAAGAAAAACCATTATACCTAGTAGGTGCATTTGCGTGGATGAGTGTGTATACATGTGTGTATGCGTGGAAAAACGAATTTCAGATGTACTTGTAACAGTGTAATCACGAACAATTCTCGAAATACAATGAAAAATGAAGTTACGAGTTACAAGTGAATGCCACCGGTGTAAGCACCTTTAATTCTAAATTTATACGGATGATGATAATCGATGCCCAGGGTTTATCGAACACAACGATTAAAAATACTTCATTCTCCCCTCACATATTTGATATCATTCACTGACATCACAACAATAACGTCGACATTAATATTTATTATTATTCGAAGGGGACGTTTTTCGTTTGTCTCTGACGAAAGGAAAAGAATAAGGAAAAAAAAAAAAAACGAAATATCATCATTTGGCCATTGTGATAAAATCAATATGGGCCACACACTTATAATTGTATAGTATTTTCTGTACATCCTCATAATTAGACCGAAACGATTTAAAGTTGATCGCTTTGAATCAATAGTGTGTTTTTTAACCATAGATTTCTCTATCGATTGTCACGTTTCACTTCATTTTATATTACCTCATCATTATTATTATTATTATTATTAATAAACGATTATTCATTAATCGAGTTTTAAATTATTTTGTTTACAAACGTGATGAAACGATCGAGACTTCGCGGTTAAGTCCTCCCTTACCTGTTACACCCACCCCCAACACCCCCCGCATTTAGGTTCACCTTATTTTGGTATAACAACTAACAGCTCTGGTTCTCCTCCCTTCGGGCAGTGGCCACATTCCGGAAAGGCGTGCGAGCTGTTCAAATGGTTGGAAGAGCAAGTATGTATCCCCCGAATGTAGAATTGTCTTCCACGTCCCTTTTTTTTTTTCTTTCATACTATTTTTTTTTCTCTCTCTCTTTTTCTCTCTCTAATTTTAGCCTCTTCCCATCGTTAAGTAATGTGCGAAGATATAGTCGAAATTTATTTAAGAAATAGTTTATTGATTTCACGCAACTTTTAAATCAATATAATTAAAAAAAAATCTATTGTTTCTATTGTTTCAAAATTTTAATAAATTACGAATGATAATAATATGAATGATGTATATGTAATAACGATGTATATTAGAAGAAAATATTCGATTTAAAGGTTGATTGCACAAAAATCCCCCCTTTCATTTAAAATCGCGTTGATCATCTTTTCGTTCTTACAATTTTTAATATTTGAAATCTATAGTGTTGTTGTATCGAATTATTTATTTTTATATACGTGTAATTAGAAGAAGGAAATATGTGAGATTAAGTTAAGCCAATTTGTCATAGCCTAGTTTAAAAAACGAATTAAGTTAAAGGAGAAAATGTAAAATCGTGAAAAAAAAATAATATTAATCATATTTAAATACTCGATGAGGTATAGCACAACAAAGTTTTGGTCGATAATTCTATAGTTATTATTACACAACGTTTTTTTTTTTTAATTATTCAAAATTAGAATATATAATGTATAGACATGTTCGTTGTGCTAATTTGTGCTAATTTCATCCGAATTGATAATAATTGATTTTTCAAAGTAGACAACATACATATTAGTGTTTTGAATTCCTATGTGATGTGATGTATTTTTTTTGTTTTGTTTTTTTTTTTTTTTTTTTTTTTTTCTCTCTCTGCAACCGAAATTATTATTTACTATATTTCTATCGATGTCGTTTTGAATGTAGTTCTCTGAAGGTATGTAAGTGTTTTTTTTTTTGTTTTCGATGGTTATTGTTGTGAGTGAATTATTGAAATTGAAACCGTCACAAACTCGCGCGATGTGATTGCCTTGAGTTGAGTTCTTTTAACTACTTTCAATTTAATCTTGCATCGGTGTTCAATATCTAACTATATATTATATCTATATTCAAGAAAATTTTTTTTTTTTATTTTTCTTTAGAATATCTTAGAATTAGTGTTTCTTGAGTGGTTTATTTACTTGTTTCATGGTCAAAGTCAATATAATGATTACATTTGGAAAAAATCGTTTCCTCCGATACTATCCCGATACTTGCTTCAATTCCTTAGGTGTTTTTTAAACGTCGTTGAAAAATGTTGAACGTATTGCGTAATGTTGAATCGATCACAATATTAAGTGTGCAGTATTTAACATATATATATATATGTGCTTCGAGTTATCGTAAATTATACTGTAAAAGCTATGTGCTTTTATGATTTTTGATTACATCACGTTCGATTTCATCTCAAAGTTTAGAAAATCATTAATAAATGTGAGAATACATGTAGTTGAATATTCAAAAATTATATATTTTTTTTTTATTATAAAATTGTATCAAGTAAATCTTCAATTTAACTTATTTAGAGGAAAAAAATTATCATCTGCCAATCGAATATTTTTGTGATCGTTGAGCTATTTCAAGATCAGTTGTCATATATATATATATTTTTTTATAATTTAATTTAAATTGATTTAACGTAATTGTATTTTCATTAATCGTTCTCTTGCACAATTATTGAACAAATATTATTAGTGATGTTTGACAAGTTAGAAGTTGCAAGTTGCATATATCTATGATAATATTTATCGAACTAGATAAATGAATTTTTTTAAATAATATAAAGATAAAATATAAAGATATATTTATTTGTACTTAAAGATATTTATTTCAAAAATTCATTTCAAGTGATCGAATCATTAAAAAAAATAAAGAAAATATACATATTTAAATCCAAGCAAAAGAAGGATGATTTTTGAAAAAATAGAAATTTCATGTATTATTCCATCAAATATAGAGATAATAAATTAACATTTTCAAACGTATTATTATTCAAATAATAAACGAAAAATCATAAATTATTTGAATATTACAAAAAAAAAAAAATTGAGAGACACTGTTCTAACTTGCAACTCGTCAATACCGCTAATATTATTATAAATTATCGTGCAAATGGATAAATAATGGCCGATCAATTCGAACATGCACGTATCGTGAATAATGAAAAAGTGAAAATGTACACGCTTGTAAAAACGGGAGGTAGAAAAATAGAAGGAGGGTAAGAAAAATCAATCAACAGTTTTTCACTCGAGCACCGGAGCCTAACACGATCATTATATCACCTCTAATTTCATCTATGATCCATGCGTGCATATATATGTGTATCTCTTTGTACAACGTCACGACACATACACATGCGCGCGCAAGCACGCACGCACGCACATCTTCTTACCTTATCGATATACACGTATCGTATCACACATGTGTGCCCGCGAGGGACGTGCACACAGCACACACACGCATAACACACATTATGTACACCGTTAAATATGAAGAAAAGATATATCTATATAACTAACTTTCTATGTGTCTATCTGTTTGAACTTTCTTCTCTTCGTCCTCTACTTCTACTTAGGTGAAGACTTCTCGTATGCAAGTAAGTCTAACATAAAGCGGGTGTATAATCAATATTTTTGTACATATGTATGCATAATATTGTTATTATTAACGCGGGAATCCGTATTAATAAGGCATAGATCGTAAGACGTAGGCTGTACATGGTCACTGTATTTTCACACGTGCTTTATTCGTATGTTTATCGTTATATATACTTTCTATTTCTATACACTGTTTGGTGTAATACTAATACTCTGGTGTAATTGTATTTATAAAGGAAAATCCTTATCTCTTTGGAAAAGGAATTGAACAATATTCTCTTGCTTGAATGTTATTTTTCTTTCGTCTAACCGAGGTAATCTTAATTAATTTGTTGATTGTTAATTAATTGTTAATTAATTTCCAACAACTATATTCAACCCTTTAGATTCCAAAAGTATAATCAAAAATCCAATTAATTATACATTATTCATTTTTCCAACAATTTTCCTAAACAAGTATTAATTTAAACAGAAAAAATGATAATAGAAAATATATTATATATTTATATATAAAGTATAAAAGAATATTTAAAAGGAAAATAATAATTAAAGATTGCAACCAAAGATACAATGCGTTAGAATTAAAGAATAATGGATTTTCCTTTGTGTATTATACAATAAATATAAATTACTTACTATAACTATCTTTCTTATAACGATAAATATCGAAATAAAAAAAAAAAAAAATCAATCGAATAGCACAGAATAAATTACGCGATGAGATACACACGATATAAGCGTTACGAGCGTTTGAAGTGGCCTTTTACACGCGCTACACTTTTCCCTCCCTCGGTCGATTAAGCTTTATATTAGGAGCTTAACGACGCCAATGGCAAAAGAAAAGTGCTCACAAGATAAAGAGCTGCATATACCATACGAATTCGCGAATAGTTTTGCAAACGACGAGTTTCACATTTTAGTTTCTACTACTATAACGTGTCTCCCCCTCCCCTCTCTTATAACTCTGCTTTGACACGGTAGAAACCTTATATAACTCTCTCGAATAATATAACTTTTTGTCTCGAGTTTTCCCAATTTGTCGCACGAGTTTTATAAATAATATTTGTCAAAGACCGCACTTGCAATACCGAGTAAATATTCACACCGTAAGAATTATTATTAATCTGCACGCTTAGATACGATAGAATAGAGAGATTTGTGTCAGAGGCAAAGATATTTATTTAATCATATTTAATCATATACGGAAAAATTATTCTCTTTATTTTGAATATTAGATTTTCTCGAGTTTGTTCTTTGCCTCTGTTATAATTTTTGCATGAAATTGAGAATTGCCTGTTGCACAGTGCTTAAAAATCTGGTTATGAGAACGTATATATGATTCATCACTACTTTAGACTATTTGTACAACGCGGAGGAGAATCACGATGTACAGATTGTATTTTTTCTTTTTTTTTTTTTTTT